ACGCGCCGCTGTGCACGTATCGATACCATACCCAGAACCGGGGGGCGTCGTTGGAGGTGCGTTTTCGATATCCTTGTCGTCTCCATGTGCATGCGCCGTCGGTTTGCGACTCCGTACTTATCTTGAGCATAATCCTCGGTGCTTCGCCTAGGGCCTTGTTTGCAAGCCTGCATTACTCTTTTACTTACTCCCTCTCCCTCCCTTCTCCGCATCCCACTAACGCACCCTCTCGCAGTACGAGATCATCCACAACCCAGAGACGGTCGACCTCCTCGTCTCGCTCACGTACTCCGCAGCCGCCGAGGGCGTCGCCGACGAGCCGCTCCCCGTCGGCATGGCGCTGCGCGTCCCGCCGCCCGACAAGGCGCGCATTACGATCGCGCCCATCGCGAACTATGCGTTACACATGGGGCAGCAGCAGGCCGCTGCAGCTGCGGCGCCGCCCGCACAGGTGAATTTACCGACTGGGACGGACGGGCTGGTGGACTTTGATTCGCTGCCGATTGACCATGTGCGTCCATTTTCCGATTTAGGTTTGATCAAGGAGCTGATGACTTTGTGAATGCAGATGCGCGCAAGTATCGCGGGGCTGATTGATTCGCTGCCGTCGGTGCGTCCCTATATTTTTCCGGGCTTTCTCGTTCGCCGCTGATGCGAGGTTTTGCAGATCGATGACATGAAGTGCGCTACTTTAGTGGCGCCCTGAACATGCTGCTGACCACTTTTCACATAGGCGCCACCTGGAGCGCAAGGTGAAACCCGGGAAGCAGAAGCCGCGCCTGAAGGACATGGAGCAGGGCAAAGTGCTCCCCGCGGCGTGGTTCGTGCTGCGCTGGTGCGTGCACTCCTCCTCCTCTCCTCTCTTCGTCGCTAAAGAATGTATGAGTACAGGTGCGTCGCCTCGTGCACCGCGTACCTCGAGGAGATGTCGCCGACGGAGGAGCAGTGTATCCAGGGGCTTGGTGCGTTCTCCGTCTTCTCGATATGTATGCAGCTGCTTACCGATACACAGACCCCGCATGGCGCCAATTTCGCTTCAGTGTCGGCACCCCCGATGCAGAGGCCATGTTCCAGAAGGCGGTCAAGTCGGCGACGGAGACTGACGCGAATGCGAAGAAGTACCCGAGTTTATATGTGCGTGTCTACGCTCATTCTTAAGGAGAAGGCTAATGCATGCTGTAGGCGTTCCATGGGTCGGCGCTGAGGAACTGGCACTCGGTGCGTTTGCTCGTTATGCATGGAGTGAGGAGGATGATATTGACTTGTGTACATATCATCCGCCACGACCTCTGGTACCGTACCGTCGCCAACGGGCGCGCTCTTGGGGAGGGTGAACACGCCCTCTTCTCGCACCTCTTCATTCTTGCTGATTTCAATTATTCCGCATGCAGGCGTGTATCTGACGAAGGAGGCGATGACATCGATGGGGCACTATGAGCAGGGTGGGCGGGCGTGCTGGCGGAAGAGCAAACTCGGGCCGACGAGCTGCTGCGCGCTGGCAGAGATCGTTAACCTGCCGAACAAATTCGTGAGCCAGAACCCTCACTTTGTGATCAAGGACACCGAATGGATAATGTGGTGCGTAGCATTGTCTCACAATACGGTTACCTACTGGGCGGCGCGCTGATTCTTTGTACAGCCGCTACCTTCTCGTGAAGGGCCTCGAGGTGCCCCCGGTAGACGCGGACAAGAAGAAGAAGAACGCGATCCCGTTCGTGAAGCTCGACCCCGCGCAGGCGATCACAGCCAACAATCAGAAATTGCAGGTCCCGCAGCCGGGCTACCAGATCGAGTCCCTCGTGCAGCTGCGTCAGGCGGAGCTCGTCGAGGAGGACCACGACGCGACGGATCAGTACATCTTCGTCGAGAAGCAGGCGCCGGCGGAGAACGAGGTGATGGAGCTGAGCGATGACGACGAACCAATGCCGCCTGTGGCCGTTGCGGGGCCCAGCAAGGGCAAGGCGCTTGCGACAAGGGCAAATCGTTCGTGGCGGGACTGGCTTCGACACTGAAGGGCAAGGGGAGCGCTGGGGCGAGCGGAAGGGGCAGCAGCGCACCCGCGCCGCCGAAGGGGCCGCCGAAGGACGACTGGAAGCACGACGAAGACTATGTGAGGCGGACGCTCGAGCTGCTCATGCCGCCGCCGCTGGAGTCATCGCCGTCGGCCACGGTTGCGGTGCAGCGCTGGCTCAAGGTTATGCTGAAGGAGCAGGACAAGGTGATGGTTAGCGCGGGCGGGCTGAAGGAGCTCGGGTGGTATTTGTCACAGGACCTGATAGGTGATAACCTGTTCCAGTGGATTGTGGAGATGCACTCGTTTGACGAGACGCTGCCGATTGCGAAGGATATGAAAAGAGAGTGCGTTTCTTCTTCTTTTTTCTTACTGCGCTAATGGAGCGATGCTGATTTTTTTTTGCCGCAGGAACGTGAATTCCTTGATATTCGAAATTAGATTCCCCCTACGTATCCCATCGGGCCGCCGTTCTTCAGATTTATAACGCTCCGGTTCCTGCCTTTCATGCACGGCGGTGGAGGGCACGTCACCGGCGGTGCGTATTCTTCTTGCTCTTCTCCCAAATCACATTCTGATTGTATCGCAGGAGGCTCCATGTGCATGGACTTGCTGACCTCGAACGGCTGGCTCCCTAGCTATAGGTACGCGCTTTGTTTTTTTCCCTCTTCTCGTCTGGCAGGGCCTAAGCTTCCTTCAGTATATCCGCCGTCCTGCTGCAGATCAGGATGGCGATCTCCAACCTGGACCCCAATCCTGCACGACTAGCCCGGAACTGGCAGCAGTGAGTGTTTCCTCCCTTTTCTCTTCCTATTCCTCTCTGCTTCCTTCCTCTTTCGGCGAATTTTGATGCTGATTACTCGGTCTAAGCCCTACAGTGTGGGCGACGCTTCCTGGCTTCGCAACACCCATCACCTGCAATTCTTGGTCTTTCCCTCCCTCCCTCGTTCATCTCATCGACGCTCGCATCGCCCATGATCCCTCGAATATATATATATATATATACGAAAGTCTTCCCTCCTCCGCACAAAACTGGCCGTCTTCTAACATACTTGTACAAACCCCCCTCACCCGCACGCTGCTTCTTTTGGCGCCCAGCTCCCTTGGATTTTGATTTGTGATTCGGATTCGGAATTGGACTCCTCCGCACTGTACTGTGACCACATAGATTTCATTCGGTTCTGTTGTTTTTCTCTCCTGCTACGCATCTTGTTGCTGCTCTTCCACTTTTCCTTCTTTTATCTGCTGCATATGTTTCTCTTTTTCTCTACACACCTCCTCCTCTTGTCGTCACTGTATTGCATCTCATCAATCTCATCTGCATATCTTGCCCCCTCTCTTTGCTGCAAAAACCAAATTTCTCCATCCATATTTGCATCTGCACGCAATGCACGCACATACCTTTATTATCACTCTCGTCTTCACTATCACTTACTGATACGACTCGATACGATACGATACGATGCCGATTGGACTGGCGTGGTACTGGATTTTGGATTTTGGATCCCTGCATGGAATCAATTCGATTTGCTCAGTATCGGATGCACCTGGAACGTTTGCCGCAACTTGCTCTTTGTCGGCCACTCCCACCTTCGTTGCGGCTATCAATGCCTGCCCATTTTGGAGACATTATTAGCTAAGCTTTGCATTCCCTTTTTATTCGCACTCATCTTGCGTGGCCCTCGTGAATCATGGGCCCTGTCATCAAGGCTACATTGAGAGCCGGGAAACACGGACTCCATGGCCAGGAGCTAGCTCGGGCTGATGTCCTCTGTATCCATATCTTTAACGTGGCCAACGTCCACTCCACCTCTTATTTTCTCGGCAGGTTCCAGACATATTCCATTTGACTCCACTGGAGCGCCTCACTCTTCTTGGTGTGGCCAACAACAGGCCCGTCCGTCTCCTTCCATATTCGAACCGAATAAATTGCGTGGCCACACTACAGTTTATTTCAAGTTTATTTAGCCCGAACCTGGCCACGGGGTGGTCTATCTTCGGCGGAGCCAATCCCAAGCCCGTTGCTCATCGGAATAAATGGATGGCCGCACTATATCTCATTCAGATCGAATCTGTGGAGGGGCGAGTGTATCTTGAGCGTGGCAAACATCAACTCCGTCCATTGTTTCTTAGATTCGATCTGAATAAACTGGATGGCCACACTATAGTTTATGCAAATAGTCTGTGGACGGGCGAGTCTATTCTTGGCGTACTCGCTGGTCAACCTAATTCCCTCCAAATCTGTTCGTATCTTGCCTGGTGGAATCATCAGCCAAAACTGCATTGTAATGTGGAGTTAATCGATATCAGCCGTGTGTTCGTCCATCCCCTGGTATGTTAATCAGTCCCATAATTCAATAAAGGTCTCTTAGGTTTGTGCTGAAGCCACTTGTGCTCAGCCCATGCACATCCAGCAGGAAGAATTCACTAAGCATATAAATGCGTAGGGACAAATTCAGACATTGTATACAGTAACAGTACATTGCGAAACTGGAATACATCTCTATTGATTCAGACATGGACTGGGACCACCCGAAAATACTGGTATGATGGTGGCGGGACAGATGAAAGGTGAATGAACAGTGAAGGAAATATCCACCAGTGGATGAACTCCGCGGAATAAAGATAGCCAGACTGTCGGCAATTGAATGATTACTTGCTCACCTGTAGAATACCACAGGTTCAAGACTAACTCGGACGTGGTACGTGGGGTATGCTTACACCTCATAGAACTTGAGCATTGCATTGCATGTGCGGGCAGCCTGGGTTCAATTCTCGGGGTCCTTATTGTCGTGAAATTTGTCTACTTTTTCCACCTACATTTCCTGTTGACCTCAACATTGACGTGAAGGTTCTAGATTTCACTCCATAGTTTCATCTCACAGACCTGAACTGTCCTATCTGGGTATGCTCGAGTTTCATTTATTTTTTGGCCATCATGGTATTAGATGGAGGCAGATAACCAGGATTTCTAAAATACATTTCGTGTTGGGGTGTGGTGCAAGGTGCACGGCAGCTACGCTTAACTTATCAGAGGTGAAATATTCAAAGCTGTTATTTGGGGTTCGAATCCCCACTCCCGAATTCTACAACACTCTTATAGAAAACCTCTTTTTATTACTGGTCCTTTCGGGAAACTCTGCTTTTCCCCTGAAAGGTATTGTATAGTGGAATTTATACCGACCCTAGTTTTCTTTTAAAGATATTCCTCCAGATTCGGAGCAAGGTAGCTCCTATCCTGAAAATGCTTATTGCAAAAATTTTGGCTGTCTACTTGTAGCTAGAGTCCCAGTCTTTCTCCCACCTGTACATATGATATAGGATCTCAATTCACATATACGTCAAGAAAGTTGCTCCTCTATATAATACCGCAGTTGAAGAGTAACTCAGACATGGTACATGAGATATGCAATAGAATTTCGGTACTGCATTGAATGTGCAGGCAGCCTGGGTTCGATTCCCAGCTTCCTGATAATCCTGGAAAGCGTTGATTTTTGTTTCTTCCTCTATTTCCAGTCAATCTCAAACCTTACCTTTGGGCTATAGGGGCCAATCTATGGCTGCTATTTGTAGGCCCGACAAGCAAAAGTTAGTAATCCTATTATTTGGCTTATTGGTGTACATGCTTTTGCAGGAGCTTTCTGTGTTTCTAGGAGCAGAGTCCTGCAAGCATTACCTCAGAACAAGCTTTTCCATTGCCACTACACATGATCATAATGTTTGGTCATGGCAAATTAGAACTCCCCTTGCTGTTGAATATCGCCATTAAAAAAAAGCAGAAGGGATAAGGAAGAGACCCAAGCCAGAGTTGAACTGGCATCTCCTGCTGTGAAGAATGATTTCATTCAACTTATAGTTACCAGGTGCGGACCATCTGCCATTGGGCTTCTATTCTCCAGTTCCAATCCCCACCAAGTCTCTGTCCTGGGAGCAAGTTAATCTTCCGTAGCTATTGCTTTTCCATCAGTTGAACAAACCTCCTAACCTTTTACGAGCACATTCCTGGATGGAATAAGGGGCTCCTCGGAATCAGCCTTGTCATTCCCGTGACGCACAATCATAATGTTTTTTTTTCGGCGGCCTCGGCGAGCTGTAACGGGAGCTGGGAATCTGATGCAATTCAAGTGTCTCGGTTCTCTGTATCTGCTGCCAACTCGGAGATCATCCACGCCATCCGACGGGTGTAACAGGGAGTAGGAAATTATGGTGTGGTGATTCGAGTTGAAGCAACAGTGCAGAAAAATATGAATATCTCTGCAGCCAAGTGTCCCATGTTGCAGGTTGTCACAGATTCAAAATCAGCTCGACTCGGACATCAATAGTGGGTTGAATTGCTCTCTTATAAAAAAACCGTATTCTCGCGTCGGATGACCCAAGCCGGAGTTGAACCGGCATCTCCTGCTGTGAAAACCAATCTTATGCAATAGTCACCAGGTGTGGACCGTCCGCCATTGGGTCTCTGTTCTCTAGTTTCAATTCCGAGTGTGAGTCGCTATGAAATGTCTTCAAATAATGGAAAGCGGATAGAAAAAGCTTGATCACAAGAATACACCCAAGCCAGACTTGAACTGGCATCTCCTGCTATTAAGAATGATCTAATCCAATAGTTACCAGGTGCGGACCATCCGCCATTGGGTCTCCGCTCTCTGATTCTAATCACCAACACAAGCTAAAGCACTTGTGATTTTTGGGAGCAAGCTCTTACTTTTCTCTCGGAATCAGCCTTGTCATTCCCGTCACGCACAATCATAATGTTTTTTTTTCGGCGGCCTCGGCGAGCTGTAACGGGAGCTGGAAATCTGATGCAATTCAAGTGCCTCGGTTCTCTGTATCTGCTGCCAACTCGGAGATCATCCACGCCATCCGACGGGTGTAACGGAAGCGGAGATCTACATACACAGTTGGGCTATAACACTAAACAAGTTGAGTACTGTTCTCTAATAATGTAATTTGGTACCTTGTGACCACCACCATCGTTTTCAGCGAGCAAATGCGGTCCAGAAACATATAAAACCTTGTGTAAAAGATGCTATTTTCACTGGACTGAGCCTTCACCCCCAGGGCTTGAACCAATTCCTCTGAGGATTAGATTTAATTTGCAAGGCCAAATCATACGGCCTGTACAAGCTCTCGGGCTGATTCTGGACCATTTTCCCGCTCTGAATCCGAATTTCGCACTGTCGGAACACCTAGTAGGCATCCCAGACCGCTATAGCCTACTGTCAACAGAATCAGTCAAGTCTGGCTGGTATTAGTCAAAGGTATCAAAGCTCTGAACGAGGTTTAATGTTTGGCCTGGATACACGTTCCATAGCGCCGTTCAACGCGATGGATACGGCCCCGGTTTCAAGCGAAACGGCCCAGTGGTTCAATAGATATTCCCTTATTATGTTTCAGTAACAGAGCCTTGACTGGTGCAATAAATGTTGTTTCGCAGAAATTAAACCCTTCAAGTTGCGCATGTCCCTGGACTTTATACACGCCTGGTAGCGCTTCAAAAGCGGGTCAGGACGGCTCCGGTTTCAAGGAAAACCGTCGAGTGGTCCAATAGATATTCCCTTATTATGTTTCAGTAACAGAGGCTTGACTGGTGCAATAAATGTTGTTTCGAAGAAATTAAACCCTTCAAGTTGTGCATGTCCCTGGACTTTATACACGCCTGGTAGCGCTTCAAAAGCGGGTCAGGACGGCTCCGGTTTCAAGGAAAACCGTCCAGTGGTTCAATGGATATTCCCTATTTCGTCTTATCTACCTATAGATTGAAGCCAAGTCCAACTCAATTATGACTCGGAGAATTGAATTATGTGACTCTGCTAACGAAACCTAGTCAGCCACTGACTTTCTCGATCATATCAGTTTACTGACTCTCTGCAACTCAATTATGACTCGGAGAATTGAATTCTGTAACTCTGCTAATGAAACCTAGTCAATTATTGACTCGGGCCATTGACTGCCAATGAAACTAAAGTAGGTAAACTTTGTTACTGTGCTAATCAAGTGAAGTCAGTTGTTGGCCCGGAGGATAAATCTGTTACTCTGCTAATGAAGTCAAGTCCCTGACCACTACATTTCTAATGCACCAATCTCAATTATTGACTTGGCAAGGAGTACAGAAAATGAAGGGGCTCTAACGAAATCTAATGAAAGTTGAATTACTAGTAACAAAAAAATGTAAGGGTGCCAAGTTGTAGAGCACTTCAAGGGCTTCAACTTTCTCCTAATGACTTTAGGGTGTACTGATCTAGTTCGGCCGGAAAACGCAAAATATTCGGCCGGAGCCGGCGGTTTTCAATGGAAAAATCTCGGAAAAAAGGACAAGTAATAATAATAAAAATCCCCTGGGCTGTGCGGACAAGGTTTCTGCTGATGTCAGATATGATTCTAGAGTGTTTTTTTGCGAGGAATTCGAAAATCATGATATCGGAACCCTCCGGATTGATGTGAAGCCCGTATATGGGATTACGATCAGTTGTGCTTGGATATATTCATGTCCAGGTCATTCGGGATTGGTTTTTCCAGGGGAATCTAAAAATGAGGTTTCTGATGTGATGAATACTCTTATACACTGTAATAATCTGTCGATGGGATCTGTCAAAAACTATAAGACTCCACTTGTGATGTAAAAGTGAAAAGACTCGGAATTTATCTCAGCCCTCGGTACCAGTCCTTTTAATGATGTTTGGGGGGATTCTGAACCATTTCTGACCGCCGAGTCCGAATTTTGAGTTAGTGGAAGCCTCAGGCCCATGGTTGAGGTTCCACAATAAAAGAAAGCCTATGACGTTGAACATTTCCCTGATGTACACTGGTATAAAAGCCTTGGAGGGCTTCAAGTGTTTGGCAAATACCCACGGCTGAGAGGCCCTTTCAAAGTCATCGATTCGATTCCGGTTTCAAAAGAAACGGTGGAGCGGTTCAAAAGATATTCCCTTGTTACGTCTCACGATTAAGTGCTCTGAAGGCTTGTAGATGTCAAATTGATTTCATGAGATGGAAACAAGTTATTTTGTCAGGATCCCAGCTTATTCTAGAGTATTTCTCACCGGCGAGTTTGAATTTCAGGCCAGCGGAATAGTCAGAGCAGGCGTTCAAGCGGCAGGAATATAATAAACTGTCAGAGTGTTTACGACAGCCAGAGTTTGTGTTGACATCAAAAGCCTGGGAAGCACTTGTTGTTTGGTGGAATATATACAACTCACAGAGTCCTTCGAGGGCATCAATCTGGTTTCATTTTCATAGAAAGCGACACAGTGGTTCAAGAGATATTCAATTATTACGTCTGAATGACACCAGTTTCACGTGTAATAAATTGAATTCAAACGCTGTTGGAGGTGGTAATTTCATTACAGATTCAAAGTAAGGGCTATCCTAGAAAGATTTCAATAGGCTTGAATTGCTCTGTGGCATAAAAAAACCGTTATAACCAACGTCACATGACCCAAGCCAGAGTTGAACTG